GTTATGAAACACTGATAAAAAAAATTGAAGAAGATACAAACACTCCAAAGAAAAATATTCCATGTTCATGGACTAGAAGAATTCATGTGAAAGTATCCACACTGCTCAAACTGGTCTACAGATTCTATGCAGTCTCTGTCAAAATACCAACGACACAATTCATATCAATAGAGAAAATAACTGTAAACTGGCAGAGTACCACAACACTCCGACCAGCCAGAGCAATCTTGAGAACAGAAAGAGCAAAGCTGGAGGCATCATAGAACCTGCTTCAAAATAGACCTACTCGGAGTCCAAATAGCGCACCCGGACCAGTGCGACAGAATAGAGACACCTGGAATTAATCCAATCCTCTACAGCAAGCTGATTCAACAAAGGTAGCAAGTGCAGATAGTGAGGAAAGGACAACTTCTTCAGTAAATGGTGCTGGAAAAGTTGGATATGCACATGCAGAAGAATGCAATGAGACCCTTATTTTTTACCATATACAAAAAAATCAACCAAGAGTGGATCAAAGACATAAATGTGAGGCCTGACACTACGAAAGTAGCAGTGTAAACGCAGGAAGAACACTGCATGACTTTGTCCTTGAATTCTCATCTGTCTCCCAGTTCCATTTAAGCTGATACCGGTAGTCCAGGAAACACATTTTGAGAATCACTGCCTTGGGAAATACAGTACCTGGCAATGTTTTAATGAATTGGATGAAGTAAAGACCAGGTTTTCAAGGACAAGAGACCCCCTGGAATGACCTCTTGTTTGGTTCATCTTTAATGGGTTCTAGGGAAAGAATATCTGGATGGCCATTTTTATTTCTTTTGTAAATAAAACTTCAGGATCATATGTAAATAAGATCTGTAGGTAATGGAAAAAAAAGTGTTAGAACTACATATAAATGTGTAAATATATACCTATTTCATTATCTATTTTTATCCCTAGAGTTGTATATGTTTGTTAAGTTATATAATTATGTGCATATGTAAACACAAAAGATGCCTTGAAGGGTACATATCAAACTGTAGGAATTAACATCAGATAGAAAAGTGGGGTGAACATCTTAATTGATGAGAATTATGTCTGAAATTTTATCACAAATATGCATCCTATAATTTTCTATTAAATTACATAATCATCCTAAAAATTGTAATAGAGAAATAAAAATGCAAAGACTGGAGTAAATTCCTTCTGAAATTTATGATTTTTAGCTTTAAAACATGATTTTATATAATTCTAGCACTCAAAAGGCTGAGGCAGAAGGATTGCTACAAGTTCAAGGCCAGCCTGGGCTACACAGTGAGTCCAAGGCCGTCTTGAAAGATATAGTGAGACTATCTAAAAGAAAAAAGTACTCTTATTATTCTTAGTTCAGAAAACAAATGTGAAAATTTATGTCACCAAATTTATGTCTGTGCTATAGTTCATTTAAAAAGAGAGGGCCGGGGATATAGCTCAGTGGCATAAGTGCTTGCCTGTCAAGACTGAGGTCATGAGTTTGATTCCCGGTATCGGAAAAAAAAGAAGAGAAACAAAACGAGAAAGGGATTACAATTCTTTAGGCACCTACTGTATAAAAGTTGCATGTAGATTTTCCATTGATCTTCACAGCATCTTATTTTAGATTGTCTCAGGCTCTGAGATATTGAGTGGTCTAAAGATCACTGGCCTTTTAAAGGATGGAGCCAGAATTCACACTTGAATCAATGTATGGAGCATGTGATTACCATTCTCCACACCAGACATCTCCTAGCTTTATTAGTTGCTGGAGATGTTCTGCTTCATCTTACAAGTTTGGGGACAGAGAGCAGGAGTCCATGGTGGAGAAGCAACTGCCCAGCAGTGTAATTTCATGACCTGCATAAAGTAAGCTTGCTGAGATGAAATGGGAGCTCATTCTGCAGCAGATGCTGCATTCCTTTTTTAAAAAAAATTAGTATACATTTGCATACATAATGATTACGTTCACTGGAGAGAGTTGATACATGCACACAACACATCCCAGTTATTTTTCTGTCCCCTGCCTTGGGCCTTCTTCCCCTCTCCCTGCTACTGCTGATTCCCTTTCCATTTGCAAAAGATCTGTCATTTGTCACCACATTGATCTCCAGGGTTGCTTTGGCTGATCTGGCCCACTAGGGGGTGCCCCCTTTCTCCCTCACTGTCCCCTGTGCGTCCCTCCCTAAACTGCATGATAGAGGAGGAGCATTTCCTTGGTCAAGGGTATATGTAGCTGAGCTGGCCTGCTACAACCTCCAAACCAGCACTCTCAAGATGCATTCTTGTTTCCTTTAACCTTTGTTGCTGCCCTACGAAAGAGGGAGGTATTACTGTTGTTCACATCTCACAAGGACATAGACCCTCAAAAAAGAGGAAAATATTCCAAAACCACATATACAACAAGTAATGGAGCTCTTTATCTAACTCCACAGCCTATCTTCTTAATTACTATTTACACTGAACGATGTTTAAATTTTTTGTTACTAGTTAGGTTTTGAGATGGAAGACTAGAAACTGTAAGGTACAATTTTGGGCCAAAGCTGGAAGTCAGAGATAAGACTGTCTGTTCCTTTTAACATGGAATCGGTTGCAATATCTCAGCACTGGAATGCAGTATATGAAATGCTATCACATGTTCACTGATGCAGTTAAGATACCCATTCAAGTTGGAGTGAGAATCAGGCATGCACAGGCCTGTCTGACCAACCACACCCATTTGCCTCAAGAGCTCAGAGGCTTCTGTGAGGTAGTTCATGTTAACAGAAGGGTGGGGTGTGAGTTTGACTCAACACAGACATTTGGTTATTTGATCATGCAGTGATTATGACAAAAGCTTTGACTTTGACTCTCAGATTGGTTCCATGGCATGCCCCTGAGCCCTGAAATTTGTGGTTTTATTTTTAAAATTTTATTATTATTATTACTGTTGCTTGAGACAGGGTCTTGCTGGCCTTGAACTTACTATGCAACCCAGGCTGACCTCAAACTCATGGCAATCCTCCTGCCTCAGCCTCCCAAGTGTTGGGATTACAGACATGTGCCACCACACCTGGCTAAGTCTGTGATTTTAAACCTGAAAAAAAGTTTATTTTTTATTTTTTTACATCAATAAAGTTCAGTCCCATACTGGGGGTAAAGCGGCACCACTATGAGAGCACTCTAATCTGTAATTCAAGCAGAAATGAGATGAAGTTGCAAAGGAATTTGCAGTTTCATTTTGAAAAACAAGAATTTTTTCTGAACTGTTCTGTTTATTGCCACCAACTCACTCATTAATAAGTCTCAATAGTACTTACAATCTATTCACCCAACAGGGAAATTGATGGTGTTTGAGCAACTAGGGGTACATTGTATGTGCCAAACTTATAATGATATCATTGGGGATTATTCTGAAATGAAGTCCAGAGGAAGCTGGCAGTGCTGGTCCACACCTGCAATCCTGCACTCTGGGAGGTGGCAACAGGACTGCAAGTTCAAGCACAGCCTGGGCAAATCAGCAAGACTCTGTCTCAAAGTTAAAAAAAAAATTTTAAAGGCTGGGAGTGCAGCTCAGTGCAAAGGTCCTAGGTTCAATCCCCAGGGTGCACACACACACAGGCACGCACGCACGCACACGCTCACGTGCACATGTGCACAGACAAACCCAGAAGAGAACTCCTTAAAGAAACAATGTACAGAGTGACATACTTGATTTGTTAGCAGTACATGAAGTTCCATCCTGAAGTGGCAAGGGAGACACTGAAGTGATATTCCATGTGGTCATATTTGATGTGAATTTAAATATCTGATGTTTACTTCTCTCCTTGCCATAATCTAGCCCAGCAATACTGAGCAAGTCACTTAAGGTATCTACACGTTTCTAAAAACGTAAACTGAATGAGATTTTTCCTTCTGGCTACATGGCATTTTAAAAACCGAAAATGTCACCAGTGCAAGGCGAAGTTCTTCTCAGAGTTTGCATTTTGCATAACTTGAATAAGCTCCGTGGTTCTGAAGTCACGAGGCTCCACAGAGATATACAGATGCTCCCTCTGCTTTTTAACTAGGTGCAATAACCTCTCTGGAGCATGCAATCAACAGCGGTAGGCAAATCCAGACCCCGGGACGGTCCAGATACAGCTAGCAGCTGCCTCTTTGCACTTACCCAGCCTGCCCAGCACAGAGGAGGCTGAGTCATATGGGCAGACACCTCTCATACACTCGCCTTTCCAGTTCCAGCTTCTGCCCTGTCACCCACACATTCCCCTGGAGCTCAGCGCAGCATGGCTGCTGTAAGCTCAGCTATGGAGTCGCTGTGAAAGTAAAAAAATTCAACTAGCATTTTGTTTATAAACTTCCAACACATTGTTTACCTAAAATGACAGATAAATCTTCCTTCCTGGGCCCCTCAGTTATTAATAGGCCAGATAATAGCTCATATTTCCTCACAGACAATTGAACCGGGATATTTATTTTATGAAAGAAACTAGGCTGAAACTAGTTATTTTAGTTATCACAGATGATTTAATTGCTAGGTGTCAATCTTCTAGAAATTAGTGATTACAAACCAAAATGAAATTTTGTATGTATATTTAATGGAACTAGATAGAATGGGCTAAACAATCAATACTACTAACCATCACTAAAAATAGAAAATGTCCTTAAAATTGGGGGCATTTTAAATAAAAGTAATTCTGACTACTTTTGTTCTTCAAGCTAGCAACAATGATCACTGAAGCTACTGCATGTGACTGCAGAAACTAACCATGTTTTCTGCAGACTTCATATCTTTGTGCTGATCAAAGATATGTGAAAACTAGGGAGGAGTGGTAGAGATGCTACCAGGACCCTTACTACTGGTGGTGGAAGAACCAAGATTTATGGGCTGTCTCATACGTGCGGTTCTCCAGGTTGCATCACAGAAAGTTGTACACCCCGAGAAGTTGAGGGATTGGTGATTATAATTTTATGACTGTGACGGAGATGCAGGCGGGGCCAGATGGTATTGAGACATCATAGGCAACGTTCAGAGCTTACTTGGTATTCTTCCATTCCTATCAGCTAAGCTTCCTTAATGTGCTTCAGAACTGAGGGAAGAAATAGAAGCTAGAAAATATGTAAACAAGTTTTAAACCTACAGATTCTTCTTCTGCCTTCAGATGTAGTTATTGTGTTGTCAGGGGAAAATAAATGCAGATGTTGGACCATGTCAGAAATCTTGTCAACAGCCTGGATTGTTTCACACAGAGTGGAGATGTGGCTTCTGATTCTGGTCGCGTATTTGCTTCAAAGAAATGTGAATTCAGGACATTTGCCAACTAAAGCTGTGGACCCTGAAGCATTCATGAACATTGTAAGTTGGAGTTTTTAGAACACTATGGGGATATGAAGTGCCTTAGATGCTAATGTCCACATCTCTGTAGTATCTGCTTTGTGCATTACATTTAGCTATGATGGTGATTCATGCTAGAGGAGCAGCATAATGAAGTAGCACAACAGACTGAAAGGATGCTGAACTAAGGGGTCAGTAGATCTTGGGGCTCCTCAAATGAATTAAGTAAATTTGGATAATGAATTAATCCCTTTCAGTTTCAGACAAAATGTAATTTTTCCTTGAACTCTTAGCTTCATCCTATGAGCAAAAAATGATTGACATATTTTGGGCCAATTTAATGTCTTGAATATTTCCATTCTGTGTGTGCTGTTACTCTGTTCCTACTTTATCCTATATTATAAAAATGTCAATCCTGACTTCCTGATCTCAGTATACCTACCCTTAGTGTTATCGGGAGCTAGTCTAATCCCTCAATAAAGGGACACTGAGTACTGAAGGCCTCCTATGAGTAAAATGTGTAATGTTGATACACCTCTTGAGGTCTCCCAATTTTTCTTGATGGGTGGTAGGATTGATTTTCTAATTTTAAATTGACTTTTCATAAAGGCCATGTACAGTAACACTTATTCCCAGTAGACACTGTGATAAAATCTACACAGATACTATTTCATTTTGTCTTCTCTGTCCTGTGCAGAAGATAGGACTGTCTACATTTTTCACACCAAATAACTGGGATTAAAGAGGTTAAGCGAGTTAAGCAAGGCCTCACGCTGGTCCATGGTGGAGCTACAATTTAAATTCAAGCTTACCTAACCACAAAGCCTATAATTATAATCGCTATGCAACAAACCCTCCCAGGCGGGAAGGAGGGGTGTGATGAGAAAGGCAGTGGTGTGCAAAGTTCATGCTCCACGTACTCATCCAGCATCTCATAGAAAGAGGAAGTTTATCCTAGATTTCTCCAGGTTTTGTTTGTCTGTTTATGGTACCATGGATGGCAGCCTGCGCCTCCTGAATACTAGGTAAGCATTCTACCACTGAGCTACTTACGCGGCCAAATTTCTTCAAGTTTAGGACTCTTTCAAAGAAGCCTTCTTGTATGGGTTCTAAAATAGACAGCCATAGAAATATTCTGCATGTTTGTAAATATCAGGTTCCTTCTAACCATTCAAATTACTAACTGGTGGTTAATCTGAAGAGTTACTACATTGATGCAGACCCTTGTATCATCTTTCTGGCCCTGAGAATGTCCTGTACATCATCCTCTGATTCTCAATGGTGGGAATCGCTTCAACTGCAAAGGCAACAGTCCCAGCCCCACCCAGGGAGACACCTACACACTCTGAGATTTCAGGACAAGTTTCTCAAGACTAAAACCTATTGAAAGCTAGATAGGGTGGCAAACGCCTGTAATTCCAGTTACTTGGTGGAGGGGGAAGTGCTGATGCAGAAGGATTGCCAGTTCATGGCCCACATGGGAAATTTAGGGAGACGCTATCTCAAGCAATAAAAGCGACAACAACAAACCATTAAATTGGGCTCTGCCATTGAGCAATTATACCAGGTAAGGAAACTAGCAAATTCATGTACTTGTTAATGAGGGTCAGAATTGGTTTGATGCTGTACTGACATACATGGATTGTAGTCTCTCCTATGCTTTGGTATACAGCTAGTTTCGTTCATGTATGTTTTTTAACACGTGTTTATTGAACACATTGTAGATCCCTGGTTACAGTACTATGAAGCCACAGAAAGATGTGAAAATATCAAAAGCCCTTCCTTGAAGTTCACAAGCTGCAGGAAAGACAAGTAGTTACTAATTACGATAGCAATGAGATGAAAGAAAACATGAACAGGAGGAACTAATCTGGGAAGCATAGGAAAGTATTTTGAAGACAGCTTCTTAGCCTAAACTGTGAAGGATGAACTCCGTTTAGAGACGGGGGCGGCAAAGGAGTCAACATGTGCGAGAGCTGGGGCAGCTAAGGGCTTGCTGTGCATGTGGAGCAGAAGGTAGGTTAGGCTTAGTTTGAAACGGAGGGTTTTTTTTATTATTGCAAAAGTAATGTGTGTTCATTATAGAAAATCTAAGAAAAATCCAGAGGACTATAATCACTAAGAATCCCTATACCCAGAACTAACCACTAATAATTTTCACATATGCAGTCTTTTATTCTTTAAATCTATAAATATTTTTGCTTTCAAAAATGAAGAGAGTGCTATGCATAATTTACTGTTTTACAAATTTTTTTGACTTAACAATATATACCATCTCTGTATCATCCCAGAAGAATTAAAAACATCAAAGCACAACAATATATGCACACCCATGTTGATAGCAGTGCACTTTGTAATAGCTAAATCTTGGAAACAACCTAGGTTGCCATAAACCAAGGAATGGATAAAAAAAATGTGTTTTTTTTCAATACAGTGGAGTACTACTCAGCCATAAGGAAGGATAAACTGGAGACTTTTATAGATAAATGAATACAACTCAAGACCATACTCATAAGTGAAATAAATTAGACCCAGCTGTGTAAATATCATATTGTCTCACTACTGCGAGAAACAGAGCAAGAAAATAAGGTCTGAAATGTACAATAGATATCATGAACTGGGGAAACACTGTTTAAAAGAAAAGAAAACTGTGATGGGGAAAGGGAAAGGAAGAAAGGGAAAAAGAAAAAAATATATGTATACACAAGATAGTTAAAATAGTTATACAGCTAGCTTCTCTTAGTTCCTTGAAAAGAATGCTTTGTACTAATATTGTTTAGACAAGATATCATGCTTGTATTTTGTACTCTGATTAACTACTACAAAGACAACAATATATAATGTGTCAACTACTGCAACTTTCCTACTAACTTGTTTGGAAACTTGGTTTCATTGTTTATCCTTTTCTCTTAAAAGATATATCTACATCTATATCTATATTTATATCTAATCATCTATATAATGAAGAATTTCCCAAGGTCTTAACCTAAGAATATCATTTTAGCTCCCCAGGCTGTGTTCCATTTGGGGGAGTTTATACTTGTCCCTGGTTACATTTGCTGGGGAACAGACAGACTGTACGGCAGGACGCATATGAAGAACGTTAGTTAAGGAGACCCTTCAGAGACGGGTGTGGTGGTGCCTGCTTGTAGTCCTGGCTACTGGGGTGGCTGAGGCTGAAGATCAGACTGAGTCATAGAGTGAGACCTCATTTTATCTGTCTGTCTGTCCATCTGTTGAGGAGTGGGGGAGAAAAAAGAGAAAGAGGAGGGAGGGAGGAGAGAGCACCCATGGGTGAGAACCAGAAAAGAAGCAGGAGTGGGTAAAGGAACAAGGCCACTTGTGACCCTTGCCTCCAGATCAGCCTCAGCAAACCCTGTGGGAGCTGTGACATAAGGAGCGCCCTTCAAGGTGTCCGCCATGTCTCTTCTCTCTCCCCAGCCTTCTTCCTTTTCCCCACCCTCAAATAAATTGTCTTCTTTTATTAAACAAAAATGAAAAACCAGAAAAGAGCCCTTCAGAGTTTTCAAAGTTGGGCTGAGATAACTAGTTACATCCCGGACATGGAGGGAAAGGACATGGCTTTAGAGATCATGGTTCTTCTCAAATGAGGCTCTCCTAAAGGGGTGACGACCAAGGGCTCTCTGCTGATGCCACCCCCTTTAGCTGGCACAAGTCCTTCTCTAAAGGGGTTCTGGGTGGAGCTTCTCAATGTCCACCACAGTATTTAATCAATGCCCCATACATTTTTTTTACCATTATAAATAACACATCCATACAAACGTGTTTAAATACCTACCTCTGATGTTTTCCTTAAGTGAGATTTTCAAATGTGGGTAATGGGATTGAAAGTTAAACTTTTTTGGCCTCTTTGGGGGCAAGGAGTGAGACAGGATCTTCTGTATAGTCCAGGCTGGACTTGGAGTGCTGGGATTCTAGGTGTGTGCCTCCACACCCAGTTTGAAAGTAAATATTAAATACAACTAGAACATGTCAAATTAAAACAAAATTTAAGAGTTAAATATTCATAATTTTACAATATACATGGTTATGAAAATTTGCAAGTTCATAAGCAATGTCTTACCCTTCAGAATATAGTGGATCTATATTTTTATGCCTATGCATTTATGTACTGCTCTTGTCCTGCATCAACTGTCCTATCTAGTCTGCTGACCGTCCTTAGATAATGTTCACTGAAGCTGTAGTTCTTTTCTTCCTGGGATGTCCGTGCCCCTCTTCCCTTCCTGCCTGGGTCTCTTGAGTAACTCTGTTTGATCCTCGAGGCTCAACTCGATTTCTCCTTCCCCCATAGGCCTTGCCTGCTTAGTTCTCCCTGCTCTGAGTTCCTGTGCTCCTTCCTCCTTCCCATCCCCCAACACTCACTTGGCACACTCCATAGAACGGCTCAGTAACACCGGCCAGCTACCTTCTGTTCTCCAGTTTGATATATTTATCTTGTCACCCAAGTCATCTCCAAGTAGCCACGACACTGAATCCTGGAGGATAGTCCCTGCATCAGCAGAATCAGCAGCCCTTGGCAACTTGTTAGAAACAGTCAGCCTCCGGGTCCACCAGACCTACTGACTATGTCAGAAAACGTGAGATTGGAGTCCAGCAATTTGTGTTTTATCAAGCTCTGTAAGTAGTTGTGATGTTTGTTGGGATTTATTTAAAGTTACATATACAGTAGACACACGCTCACGTGCGCGCATACGCACACACGTGCAGTACATTCCATGAGACTTGGTTAATTGGGTTTTAATTATAGCGGTAGTCATGAGACCCAGGAGCTTCCCTCTTGATGACTGTGCTCTATTGCTTTGTATTCTACACTGGGGTTTTGGCACCTGGTTTCTCCTCTCTTCCTCTTAGCAGCAGCCTGTGATAGTAATAGTTCCCTTCTTCTCTGGTGAAGACGGTGGTCAGGAACAGTGGTGATGCTTAGGGGAGCTTGCAACTTCCTGTTTTTCAGAGTTTCTACATGTGTCAATTATATATAGTAGGCATTTTTAAGCAGAGGGTCATGCATAGCTGACAAGGAAATTGAAACTCTTGGAACTGTATGCAAATGTTTTTGTGTATCTACACATATATCCATTTTCACATTTCTCTTCAAATTTGCTGAGGGATTTTTAGTCTAAAACTGTAAGAATCATTGTCCTTGAGTCTATGTTAGAACTGCATGTGTCTTAGGGAAGGCATGGCCCAGGACTCGCGTGAGCTGTCCTAGAACATGTGTCCTGTGGGCTACTTTAGGATCACCCGATCGCTAACCTCAAGTGGCTCAAGAATCTCTACTTGTAGGTGTCCTGCATGATTCCGGCTCACACCCAAGTTTTAGGATTAGTGTTCTGGTCCACTACCTAGCAAGCATTACAGTCCATCAGATCTCTTTATTGAGCTTGTGGAAACACAAATTCCTGGGCCATATCCTCAGAGTTCCTAGTTCAGGACCTTTGGTGGGAATGTCCATTTCTACAGAGTGTGCAAATAATGCTGATGCTTTTGACCCACACTTTAGAACTACTGTCCTAGCCTGGTCTCCTAATTAAAAATAGAAGAAGGCAGAGGGCTAGGGGTATAGCTCAGTGGTACAGGGCACACCTAGCATGTGAGAGGCCCCAGGTTCAATAACCAGCACCATTACAAAAAATGTGAGGCCTGGGTAGGACAGCTTGGCTGGTTTTTCTAAGATAATCCAATTAGTTGGGGGAGAGCAAGGACTTTCTCATGTATGTCTCACAGCCTTAAGGAATGTACTCTTACTTTTAGACTTGAAGAACACAGTCTACACAGAGAGCTGAACTCAAAAGAAACTGTGCTTTTTCCACAGAGTGAAATCATCCAGCATAAAGGCTACCCCTGTGAAGAGTATGAAGTTACAACGGAAGATGGGTATATCCTTTCTGTGAACAGAATTCCTCAAGGCCTAGCACAGCCTCAGAAGAAAGGTATGATTTACCCAGTGCCACCCCAACACAGCAGTCTTCCATGTAATTTCAGTGTGTAGAAAAGAGTCTAGATTCTTAGTGCAGACTGGGATTTATTGGTCAGGTCAAAGAATGGAGTATGTTCCCCTAGGATCCCCATTACCACCACCGTACTGCACCCTGTACCATCAATTATCTCAAACTGTTTACTTTGCAAAAAACACCTTCTGGTTGGAGGCGGCTAGGTAGTTCAGTGGTAGAAAATGCGCTTAACGTGTGTGACCTTCTGGGTTCAATCTGCAACACTACAAAAAACACTTCATGAAAAATGCACCTCTTGACCTCTGAACTTTTTCACCAAACCTCTTTGAACTATTACATACATACATACCAGAACCGGATTCTATATGTGCATTTGTAAGTTTTGATACATGTTTGTATGGTTTTATAATTCCATTTTTAATGTAAGATTCTCAGTGACTATTGGCTTCTTAAAAATTCATCTTCAGTACTAATGAAAGTACGCCCACATCCCATTTCTATTTGGCTCTAATCTTTTTAATACTGTAGCGCCTAGTTTGTAGCAGCAGGTATATTCTCTCTCACATGTACATACTATAGAAATGATCCCTGAAAGTGTAGCCTTCTCTCTCGTGTGTACAGATAATAGAATTTCTTGTGTCCTTTCTATGTGCCAAGTACAACACTAAGTGCTTTATTTTCATTAATTTCCTTCTAATTTTCACAATAACCTGAAGAAACTGCCACCCATAATGGTTATGTAAATGGTCTGGAAGGTCTGTGCTAATGCTTGCCAAAGGTTGCTGTCAAATCCAGATCTGCTTGCTATGTGGCTCATGTTCTTAACTATGACCAAAAAGTGCTGGGTAAATTCTATCACCCTTTGGGGTAAAAAAGCTTCAGGATTCAATATTACTTCAGTTTGTACTTATGTAGCTTTTTAAATCAACCTGTTTTGAATGCTAGCTGCACAGCCATGCCTTCCCCCTGCCCAGCACCTTTCTAGCTCAGCGCCTTTGAACTCACAGCTCTCCCTTTGGACCACTCTTCATCAGACCCTGACGCAGCTTGCGCGGGCCTCTTTCCCCTGACCACTCTACTAAACCAGCAACCCCTTGCCATCTACTGACATCCGGCCCCGACCCTGCTTTCTTAGCCTTGCAGCACTTAACAGAACTGATGTGGTAGGTGTTTGCTTGTTAGTTTACTGTGTCTGTCCCCTGCCAGAATGCAAACACAGTAGGCATAGGGATCCTGTCTGTTTTGTTCTAGGTTATATACAGTAGCTAAAAGAGTACCGAGCATATTATGGGGCTGCTAAATACTGTATTTGTAGAATGAATACATTTTGTATGAACAAATGAGTAACCTGGCAATGGAGACAAAATATTGCACCAAACCTCAGATCTGTAGGGTGGTAGGGCGTAAGGCATGGCTGTTCCCAGCAGTTAAGTTAATGCAGCAGTTACTAATTACAAGGGTTACCTGTAGCTCCTATTCATTAATCGAGTTTTGTTTTCATATATCCTGTTGGTGTACTGTTCACTCACTGTCAAGTAGCATTGTCAGGTAGCTCAGGATTAAAGGGATCAGCCTTTTAACAGGGTGGAACATTCCCCTCTAGTGGCTGATACTGTTCCTGCAACTCTAGATTAACTTCAATCGTAGTGTGTTCAATGGGATAGAACCCATTATGACAGTTAGTCCTCAATTATGAGCGAGTTCCATTCTGGGAGAATGCTCATAAGTCGGATTTGTTGGTAACCCCAACAAAGTGAACCTTACATACCTTTGACAGAAATATGCAGTGTAAAGCATAAAAAAAACCACACAAAAAATACTATACATAAACTATTTTTATTATAATAGTCACCGTAAAATGGTGATACAGTTCAGTACAACGGCCAGCATATGGGAGATTGCGTGGAGTGAACTAAGGAGAAGAGAGTGACTGTCTGCAGGAGGGAGGGTAGGTGGGCGATGGGGGAGGGACGTCTCCCATCTTTTCGCGTTGGTGCAGTCTCTCAATTATTTTCACTTTTGGTTCCATGGTTACGCTCTGCACTTCCTAGCAGTCCCCACCACATCACCTCTGCTCTTCCTCCTGCTTCCAGACATCCTGGGCTCTGACTGAGCGCTGTACTGCTGTTCACTGTCGCGCTGCACAGTGAGCGCACAGCAGCACAGGCGTGACAGTGTCCGGCAGACATGTGCGTCACTTCCGCTATTTGTTCACATCTAAGAATGTTCGTAATGGGATGCCCGTTTGCATCTGTGAAAGTGTATAATTCGAATGTTTGAAAGTTGGGGACTTATTGTGCTGTAATTTTATTTTGATGGTCAAAGTTTCCTATACTGAAAGGAATTGTTTTCCATCTGCTATATGGGTCCTTTTAACTTGAAGAACCTTTAATCATTACACCATTTTATAGGTGTTTGTGTATAAATGATCAGACATTATATTATTCTATCTATCTGTCATATCTCTCTCTCTCTCTCTCTCTCTCTCTCTCTGTCTAATTTTAATCATTATAGTACACCATCTACTGGACCACCTCTAAAACATTTTCAGGATCCCAGACAAGTCCCACACTAACAATTACACAAAAACAATGGAAGCTGAATTGTTTTCTTTTTCTTTGCCAGACATTGTGCTACCTGGTCCCTCTGATCCTTTAAAGTCATAACAAAAATCAAATTTCACTAATGATGAGGAAATTAAGAAACAAAAATAATCCAGCTAGCAAACAACTGAATGAAGATTTGAACGTAGGCTTGCCTGACTCCCAAGTCCTTGCAGGTTACAAAGTAGGCAAGGTGAAGCATATGTCATGCCGTGAACATCCCTTGTGTCCACAGGTCCCAGGCCAGTGGTGCTCCTGCAGCACGGTCTGCTTGGTGACGCCAGCAACTGGATTTCTAACCTGCCCAACAATAGCCTGGGCTTCATCCTGGCAGATGCTGGTGTTGATGTGTGGCTGGGGAACAGCAGGGGAAACACCTGGTCTCGGAAACACAAGACCCTCTCCATAGACCAAGATGAGTTCTGGGCTTTCAGGTATATGAAAATCTGGAGATCAAAATGGACATGGATACCTTTGGGAGAACCGGATAAAGAATTAGGGGGTCACGTATTTGGATGAATTATTTGGGTTGTGTCATCAATATGCTAACATGATATTCCCCGATTTTGCCCATTAGCTAGTGATTCTTTGGGGCTAAGTACAGGGAATATTGGGCTTCTCACTCTGAAGGCTGGGTATGGCTAATGAGATGCAAATGGTAGTTGGCATCCAGTAACTGAGACTGGGCCAGGAAATATACAAATCCATCTCCTTGAAGGTGATTAGCCTGAGACTAACTCTTCTGTGAGTGGTGACAAGCCCTAATACTTCCAGAAAAAAGTGAGGCCTGGTAGCAGATTTAAAAAGAAAGAAAACTATCAATTTGACTAATGTCTCTCATGGCCTTACAAAAGGTTTTTACCTAAATTATATATTGCTATTCATCTGTTCTCGATACATTTCATCAGAGAAAGGTTGTTGCTGCATCTTTAATATTTTCCTGTCAAGGGATCTATATGGCCCCACACTGTCTGCTAACAGTGCGAGAGGAGCCCCCACAAAGTGGGTCGTGTGCTTAGTACTCACAGATGATGATCACTCTGTGATGGCATCTGCAGCAAACAGCAGTTGGCTGAAGGCCCATGACCCTGAAGACAGCCCAGAATCTCAGTCTTGAAATAGCTGGATCCTGAGGGTTACGAGGGGTGTGGTAACAAGTTGTCGGGGAAGGCACCCCAAGTACTTACTTTGTAAACCCTGGCGGGTGGATGGTTCTGTTTGTACATGGTAGTAACGTTTCATACAACTTTGTCTTTTCCTCTTGTAGTTATGATGAGATGGCTAGGTTTGACCTTCCTGCAGTGATAAACTTTATTTTGCAGAAAACGGGCCAGGAAAAGATCTATTACGTCGGCTATTCACAGGGCACAACCATGGGTAGGTTCAAAGGAAATCGGGTTTGTATATTCAGAAGAAGTGCGAGCCTACAGTACCAGGTGCTCCTGAGGCAGTCATCTCATGCTTCTGGAGCTGGTTTCCTCCTCTTCAGTGACTCTAAGCGCTGAGAGAAACAGGGACTGGGTTGAGGGAGGTCTGTGGTGCGGCAGAGAGCTTGGACTCAAAGAGATAAAGATTCAAATGCTGTCTTTGCTACCCCTTAGGTAAAAAATATCTTTGAGTAAATTCTTTAACTACTCAGGCTGTTTCCTCACATACAAAATAAGGATAATTACTCTGTCTTAGAGGTGTCGGAACTGTCTGCACTATTCCATATTACAACGTATGTCAAGACTGTGAAGGTGGGAATTTCATCTAAGACACAGCAAGAGAAGTTTCTGGTACAGAATATGCACTCAGTAAATAACCTGAATGAATGAAGGCCTGAGTTTAGGGACCGCCACATGACAAACAATCAGAAAATAGGGCATTATGATCACAATAGACACAGAACTGATGGAGAGTTTGCATAAGTCTTTCTCTTTTCCTGCTAATGCCAACACTGGGAGTTATGTACTGGTGTCCTTTTGCTTTGGATGAATGTGTGAGAGACTTTAAATGGAGGCCCCTGCAGGCACACTTTGGGGTCATGGGGGATGGAGATTGTGGCTATCGTAGACTTATATCCAGACCAAAATCAGTAGGAGAAGTGTCCATGGCTTGGTTTAGGAGAAAGAAAGACCCTGAAAGGCACAGTGTGTGTCGTAAGGAGGAGGCTCTCTGGGATTAAGAAAAGCTCTTTTTTTTAGCCTGAAACCAAACACTGAGTTAAAGGCCAAAGCTGGATTCTAAAAAGAAAAACAAGCAACCAGTTATTGGAAGAAATATGCATTCTTTAATCAGCACAGCTGTGTTGTTACCAGGTTATGTTTATGCTCATGAATATGGAAATAGCTTAGTAAACAATTTAATTTCTGTGCATTCTTTGATTCTGTGGTTTAATATCATCTCTGTATAATTCCCATCTTCATAATAATAAGTGCTTTTTATGAGCACCTAGTAATGCCAGTCATTAGTAATGCCAGTATCATTTTGCTTTATTCCCTGCACAAGGGTATGGGGAGAAGGTATGAACTTTATGGCTAAATTGTGGGTTAGTGGGGCTGCTAAGTAAGACCTATACTCACATACTTAAAGCATTTGCTGAGTAAGCACTATAGAATGAGGTTTATAAGTTGAATGGAAATTATATGCACACATTCCTCAATTCCTGTAAGGTCTTACTACTACCACCTTCAAAGTTAATGGGGATTATTATGACAAAATACTTCAAAAAAAAAATCAGAAGTCGATTATTGCTAAAACCTGTTGTCACACTAAAAGCACTGTGAATTCAGGCCGAGTCATAGGACAATCTTAGCTAATTTTCAGCTGAACAACTTATATACAAAACAGTTTTGAAAAGACCTCTGTGTTAAAGGACACTTCCTGTTCCCTTAAATCCAACAACAAACCAAGTCATCAGTCTCCAGCCCTCAGGTTTCTGAGACCTCAGCATGCTATTGCAGTGGCAAGCAGAAACACTAAATGACACCCAGGATCTGGAGGCAAATTTATTTTACTTCAGTGGGGCACTGACTAGGGATCAACTGCTCCTCAAAATGTCTGGCCCTGATCTCTGGTGGTCTAGGGCTTATAAGGGATAAGCAAGTAGGAGGCACAGAGGCAGAATAGCTTGTCAGTTGGGGATTGGTTCTTACAATATGCATCATAGAGATCAGCTATGCATCACAGGATCTCTGGTGGTCTAGGGCTTATAAGGGATAAGCAAGTAGGAGGCACAGAGGCAGAATAGCTTGTCAGTTGGGGATTGGTTCTTACAATATGCATCATAGAGATCAGCTATGCATCACAGGGACTAGCTGTTTCTAAGAAACAAAAGTAACAGGAACTGGAACTATGACCTGGGCAACTAACAAACTGAAGTACACTGGCTGGGTGGGTACCTTCTGCTACACTACCACTTGGCCAAGATGCTGATCTACCAAAGGGTTTGCTTCTGCAGAAGCTTACAGTGGTCGTTAAACACCACAGCCAAGTCATAAGTTTGCCTGTTGCTAGTTCTATATCGCCTAGAACTGTACAGGCCACTTTTCCTCTCCCTGATATTTCTCAGGTTTAGGCTCTGTTCTCAGCAACTAGGGAAAAGAATGTACTTAAAGTACTTGGTCTGAAGAATGTCAAGGGAAAAATGCTAAAATTTCTAGGGAAAGTCCAATGTACGTAGAAGTCTATCAGGTTGTAGGCCGTGCTATAACAGATTGTTTGACTCTCTCCTGCAAGTTACTCGGCCCCAGTAAGCATTCCGGGGAAGGAGGCTGAGACTCATGGCAAAGATTAAACTGCATACTTCTGGAGCTCCTTCTAGCCAGTGACCTTTATTAAAGTAGATAGCACAACCTATCTCCAAAGAAGGTAAATGCAGCAGAAAAACTGGTTGTTTTTGCTTAATTCTCCCCTTCAATCTTTATATAAAACATAATGTTTTATGTAAATAGACACTATCAATGTCTATTGAGGATAATGTAATTCATTGGAGCTTTTTTGGCATTAATCACACCACCAAGGGCTCTTTTCCTATAAAACTTTCCTAGAAGTCTCTTATAATCATTAGTCACAATGACCTTATGTCAAAAATAAAACTGAATCATGAACCAGGGATTCTAATGGCTCAAGGACTGCTGGGACTCAGGACATCTGGTCAGTTGACTCCATCTACTGATGCTTTCTAAAGAATAAAATGGGCCTAACTTTTGCATGCTTATTGCTGTGTCTTTTATAACATTAATGAGTTCAGTGATACAAGCTCTCACCAAGCTCTCATCAAGTTCAGTGACACATGTCCTTCACAGAAAGGTTATGGGTTGTAAATCTGTTCCTGCCCTACTACTCAGAGTTCTTTTCAAAAACATTTTGTCTATAAGTTGTTTAACTTGATATAAAAACAAAGGTGCTATGATGAGGCTGGATCCAGTTTTGGGAGGAAGGAAAGCATACGAATGCATAAGAGTCTTCCAGCAATAAATCATGGAGCTATTAATATGGAGAACTTTGCATAAGGGGAAATATTGCTGGGATGTATTATATAGAGTTCTCAGACCTTGACATCTGAGGAGAACAGAATTAGGCCGGGATATGGTTAATGTATTTTCAACCCTTTCATACTGAAAGTACAGCTGGGAGAGCAAGAGGTCCTAAGTCACTCCTGGGCTTGCCTTAGTTGTGGCTGGCACACCGACTCAGATGGGGGAAAGAGCAGAGAAGGAATGAATGTTCTTCAGTGCTCAGTGACCTTCTGGGAACCGGTCACAAGTCACATGGTTCTAGTTTTTCTCTGCTTAGCTCTCTTCTCCCAACCCCCAAACTGGAAGTATCAGCCTAGACTGAGAGTATGCAGGCTCTAAAAAAGAAACAGAGAGAGTACATGATATTTCTAGTGTATTGACCTTGCCCTGGCTTTATGTGATAGCCCTTTTCTCCCATAGGATTCACAGATATCTTCCCTGAACAGTGGTATTTGGGTGAATTTGTGTTTCAGTTCTATAGGTACAGGTACTGAGGTACAGATTGACTTGACTAAGATCTCATACCAAGTCTATGGAAGAAATAAGAACTGAAATCCAATTTAGTTAACAACTTCTCTGCTAGACTGTATCATGATTTGTGTTCCAGAGAAGTTAGAGATGAAGTAAAACCAGCAAAAATCCTGCTACCCCATATCCACTGTTACAAAGCATGTTTGTCAAATAAAGTGGTTTTTCGAATTCTCTATTTCTTTCACTGAGTAGAATTTTATTTAGAGAACAAAGTGTACAAGATCTGAGAATTAAGTGAGGTAACCATAAAGGTTCCCCAGAAGGTGTCTAGCATGCAGTTATCTCTCAAAGTCATGAGTTATTTTGTCAAAGTCAATGTGACTGTATTAAGTAATTTAAATATGATTGTATTAATTAATTTATAATATAAAATTTACCACTTGAAAGCAAGTACAGTAGGTGTCATAGGGAACACAAAACTTTTGTGGTGGTTCACCCTCCTCAGTAAGAGTTTATAATTTTGTAGGAGAAGAATTATGACTTACTTTATATGTAGCTATTAAAATATTTTGATAAGGTCAAATATATTAGTTCTATGATGTTCAGTACCCATGCTGATATATTTTTCTCTTGTAGGCTTTATTGCATTTTCCACAATGCCAGAGCTGGCTCAGAAAATCAAAATGTATTTTGCTTTGGCCCCTATAGCCACTGTTAAATATGCAAAAAGCCCTGGGACCAAATTTTTATTGCTGCCCGATATGATGATCAAGGTATGTGACACCTTGGAGAAGTCCTTGTGTAGACAGAAGTCTTGCAGCTCACTTCTCTAAAGCATACACTTGTAAATTAGAGTCATATTTTCTAGACTATACTGTAATAACTACTCTTTCATATCATATTTTCACAGGGATTGTTTGGCAGGCAAGAGTTTCTGTACCAGACGCGATTTTTCAGGCAGTTTGCTATTTACCTTTGTGGCCAGATGATTCTTGATCAGATTTGTAGCAATATCATCTTACTAATGGGAGGATTTAACACGAACAATATGAACATGGTAAGTAGGAGCCTGGTAAATAAATTTTCACTTTCCTACCTAAGTTAGGAGTTACTAATTTCACTCATTAAGGGACCAGTGAAGACCTAGAGAAGATGTACACCCAGCGATGCATAGTTTCCAAATTGCAAGGGAATGCTGGAAAGCCTTCACCAGGGGTGAAGCAAGGTAAACATACTAGACAACAGCCTCACAGATTATAGATGGAAGAGGTCTGAAGGCCTATAGTAAATAAAAAGGAAAAGCAGATTAGAACCTGGTAGATACTAGGGAGACCTTCCCGGTGTCATCCACCTCTGCCTCAGTCTGATCTCTTTCCCTTTGTAGTTTAAATTCTTTGATGGAAAGGCTGGTAGTTTCAGTTTGGCTTAGGCCTAGCTACTAGCTGGAGAGGGTCACCCTGGGGGCTCTTTGGGAGGCATATTTTGCAGAGGTTACCAAGCAGAATGATTTTGCATTCTGTTCTTGAAATAACGGAGAGAAAGGAAACAGGATTTGGTAGAGGGAAAAGTCTATGACACAACCTCACAGTTAATCCTATGGGGGTTTGTGAAGATGGGGTGCTCCTTCAGAGCTGTCCTAAATTAGAAGCAAGGATGGTCTGTACACCCTCAGATCTACCAGTCATTTAATGCAGATCACACTAGTAATGAGGAGACACTGGGCAATGTGTCTCTCTGCAGTCTGGGTGACCCCATAGGGCTGGCAATGGAGGGCACATGAGGGAATATGTCTAACTCTTGAGGATTTCTTCCTCTTGATTAATACTTCAACTTATAGAAACCATTTGGTGGGCATTTACTGTGTTCCAGGCTAATTTTATCTCACAACAAGCCTATGACACTGAAAATGCACCAATAGCCCCACTTTACAAATTAGTACACTAAGATTCAGTGGGTTAGTAACTTGCCCAAACTCACCTAATATTACATAGCAGAGAACTACACTCAATTCCAAATCCTTTATACTACACATATCTAGTAAAAACTTTTAAGTAAATATGAGTAATGAGAAGGTGTTAGGAATACATTTAGTGACTTTTTCTTTATGTGCATGCATACATTACTGTTTCATAGACAACTTCTGACAACCTGATGATGTTCCCATTCCATAGTCTGACACCCTGGGGATTGCTTTCGGTAAAGTGCACATCTCGTGAGTTTTTCTGTGTCTTCAGACCACTCATGCTTTGTTACAGAGCCGAGCAAATGTGTATGTTGCCCATTCTCCTGCTGGGACATCTGTGCAGAACATTCTACATTGGAGCCAGGTAAGAATGTTGAATTTGTTGTCTTTTCCTCACGTTTTGCCTGAAATAAGCAAAAGACCTCCTTTAATGTAGAGAACTTTGTGTTTATTTTGAGCTGTAATGCAATCTGATCAAAGATGTTTTAACTGTGAACTTGACCTCAATTATTGAAGCTTTTGAGGAGATGCGAGGGAAGGACAGAAGTGGACAAAGGACATCTTTAAAGTGGGTCCTAAAATTAAGATGATCCAAGTGCAACCTTTCTCTGTACCCACCTCAAAGATGTCCCTGGAGGAAATTATGCTTCCATATTCTTTTATGGCTCCTCCAGCAGCAGGAGAAAGTGGGGAAAAAAAAATAATGCAAAGGTGGGCCTAATCGCCCAAAGAGATTTTCAGGGGAGTCTCCTGTGCTACAAACTTTATCTGCAGTCTTGGGAGAGAAAGTTAGTGTGTGTGTGTGTGTGTGTGTGTGTGTGTGTGTGTAGGGCTATGACAAAAAAAATTCTAATTTAAATTAGATTTTGGTCACTATCTCACAGAATCTCCACATGGCACAATTCCACAGAACACTTTCTCACCATAGCTTTTGGAGTTGTGTCAAGTATGAATTCACATTGACTGCAACGAGGATACACTGCCTGGAGTTGACAATGTGGTGGTCATGTTTTTATTATCAATTTCCTTCCTGGTTCATGCTTTTGCACTTTCCTAAAGATTATCCCAGGGAGGATAAAACAGCTCAGACAGCTTTGTTCTCTGCTTCCTTGGCAACTGAATATGTGGTAGCACATTTCTACGACCTTGACACCACCTTTTTTTTTCTTCCTCATAGGCAGTGAATTCTGGGGAACTCCGAGCATTTGACTGGGGGAGTGAGACCAAGAATCTGGAGAAAGGCAATCACGTAAGACAGTCAAATACCACCCACTGAAAATATATCCTCTGGAAACATGTGCAAGGGAAGTCACAGGGAGAGGTTATTCTAAGGATGAGAATAAAATATAAGAATTCTACCAAAGAATAAAATTTCAGGGTTTTCTACCTTTGAAAATGGAAAGGTTCACAGTTTAGCCAACAGGTTTCCCCACTTCTGTTGCAGAATTGGAGGCTTTTTTTGCTGGTGGTAACTTGTGAGCAAAAAACTGGGGTTCTTCGTTGCAGAGTGGTGTTAATTTAGTGCAAGGAAGAGTAGATGTATAGTGGGGACTAGAAGGATCTTTAGCGTTTAAAAAAACAGACAGACAAATGAGACTGGAGGGAGTGAAGCTGCTTCTTGGTACCATAAGAAGAACATTGGAGAGCAAGTGGGGCTTGTGCTGATCTTGCCTCTACACTAGAAGCTTACGTGCTGCTGCTGCAGGCTACACTGATTCATCAGGACTCATTTTACACTTAAAATAATTATTGGATTAAATAAATTTTGCATTCTTAATTATGCTTTTAATGAATTTGGGATTTGCAGGTTAAAAATTATTATATTACCTTATAAAATATGAAGTCAGTGCTATGAAATAAAGTTGAAAATAAAAAAGTAGAGAATCAGAATTGGGTAAATATGCTCTTTTGAGTATAAAATCTTCCCCAAAATTTATTGATTAGCATGTGTGTAAATGTAAATAAATATTGGTTAAACAAGCAAAACTACAGGGAGTAAATACAGCCTGATATTTCTTTGAGAAGCCCAAATCTTGTTTAATGTCCACTGCCATATATCAACCTAAAAACAAAATGCTAGGAAGTTAGGCAGACTGTGTGGTTGTCCCTGAATAGAAAACTTTCAGTCATAGGTTTAGACTTCTTTATATATCATTTTCACCCTTTCCTAAAGTATATCTTTAGAGAAAGTTTTCCTGTGAGATGGTTTATATTTATCAGTAACATTTAATGGATGATTTTCTTCAGAGTCTGATGCATGTGGAGTAGGTACCAGAAAACGTTAATGGAAGGGAAGAAAAAACACACATATAAAAAGCGTCATAGAGTCACAGCAACTTAGACCTAGACAAGACGTTTATTTCAATCTTTTTATTTGTAAGGTGAGAAAAAACATGATTGACTCCATAGGTAATTCCAATCTTTCATATATGAAGAAGGCTATAACTCCAAATTCTTAGGGAACCAAAAGACAGAGACGGGCATTTAAGATTGGAGCTGAGGCTCTGTGGCGAATTGTGTGATTAAAAGAAAAAAAGGATCCTCACCAATTCTATAGAAGGTTAATCTCAAGGAGTCAGCGAGACAGGTAAACTTCCAGTACTGCTTGAATATGAGAGTTGCCAGGAGCAAGGGAGACTATATGTTCCCTGCTTTGGATGATTTGGAGGAGCTGAACTTGGGTTTAGAGCAGGTATTTAACTTTGTTCCCCTCTGATTCAAATTAGCTGGGTGTCTGGCCAACCTGACACTGGCCCACATTTTTGGAGGTGCAGTCAAACCAGGCCCCATCCCCAGACCTGGCTGAGATCACAGAACATGACTGGGAGGATCCAGAGGCCTTTCCAGTAGATTCCCTCACCTTTCCCTGTAGAACGTCTCTAATTCTTGCCTTATAAAATGAGAGAATATCTTTTGTACTTGCAGGTACATTACTTTTAAAGGCAATTTACTTGTAATATATATACTAGGAAGAAAAATCAAGCATTATTCAATTTTTAGAGTACCATGTAGGGGATGGGGATGTAGTCCATGATAGAGCACATGTTCAATATGCAAAAGGCTCTGGATTTCTTTTCCCCAGAACCACACATACAAAAAAATAAAAAAGGTAGTTTACATTCTTTCTTACTTGACCTAGTTAGTTATTACCAATATTATTCCCATTTTGCAGGTGAAAGAACTGAGGTTCAATCATTTGAAGTAATTTTACCTTAAAGTAGGGACTAGACTAGAAACTCACAAGTCCTGCAGGGCTTTACCCACACCCCCATGCACTTTTTACCATAATAAATGGATTGTCTATTCTGTGTATTTGAAATGTAAATTACTGTTTTGGAAGTTTAAATATCATCATGTTATTTACAGCTAAAACTATTATTTTGTTCCAGCCAACTCCTTTAAGGTACAATGTTCGAGATATGATGGTCCCGACAGCGATGTGGTCAGGAGGTCAGGATTGGCTTTCAAATCCAGAAGATGTGAAAACACTGCTCTCTGAGGTGACCAACCTCATCTATCACAAGAACATTCCTGAGTGGGCTCACATAGACTTCATCTGGGGGCTGGACGCCCCCCACCGGGTGTACAATGAAATCATACATTTGATGAAGCAGGAGGAGGCTGACCTGTCCCAGGAGACCTGCAAGGTCTTACTGTAAGACTTCTGATACTGACAAGACTTAGGAGCAACCTTCTGGAAGACGGAGCTAGGACCAGGAACAGCGTAGAGGATTTTAGAATTTTTCAGAAGGGAAAACCTATTTTATCTTTCAACAGGAAGTCAGAGATAACAGTTATATTTTCCTTCAGTTTCTACATTTGGCACTAATACTCAGATTTACAGTTTTTTTTCAGTTAGTTAAACTAAAGTAAGAGTAAATATGGGTTTCCTGTGCTATCATGTCTTCTACCGTTTTGAAAGTTAATTTTCACCTGACAGCCAGAAAGTACCTAGATGTTCACTACATCATTTAGATAAACCACCCTCATACGTTTATTTTTTCTAAAGCCGTATTTTTGGAGGAGTAAAATAAAATGACATATTGGAGTAGATATTGAGGTCAAAAAATCTCTAGATTGTTGTTGGTTTTGAAAACATGATCTGGACAGTTTTGCCTTGTTGCCATGGAGTCAGGATACTACCTACCTCAGGAAGCCAATTGGCTTTAGCAACAATGAAAAAATCACTATGTGGCACAGAGGAATACATGTTAAACATTCTCAGAATACGGCCAAGTTTTAGAGTTGAATCACAGAGAAGATACTTTGGTAGGATATTCGCGAGTTTCCCAATAAATACGTTATGCATTGAATGTAGCATGTTTGTGTTGTATCAGTACCTAAGCTCTAGTCTAAGCTTGTTTACAGCCTGTAGTTGGGAGAAATACTGGGCCAATTTTTAACCTCCAAAAACTAAAATCTTGGAAGAAACTTTTATAATGTCATGAACATAATAAAATAAGTTACCATATATTTTATCCTTTGATCTTAACAGTCACTGTTAGACAATCATCCCAATTCATTCATAATTGTAGATGATTTTCTTTAGAAAATTGTTCAATTTTCAGTCTTAAAAAATGATAGTTGTAAGTTATGAGTACTATTTTGTGAAATTTAGTCTAAAATCCAGTGAAAGGTATACTGTATATGTCAAAGGCATACCACTAAAAGTATAATGGTGTGTGTTGAAGCTGTACTGTTGAGATGATACTGGTGTGTGAAGCTCACTTTTATAATTTAGTCCCAAGACCCACAGGAACTAATTTTCATGCTAATGAATCTTAAACAATTTAGAGATGCTTAAAGACTTTAGAACCTATGTCTATCTACTACTACTTCCTTCAGGGTCTTATGTAGTTCCATAAATATTTCTAAATTTGATTTTTGTTAGACCTTTGTTCTGCCCAAGGATAGAAAATCTTTTACTCTTTGTCTGTATTTCTTATGATATGGAGTATGAATTAACCCATGTCTACAGCTATGATTGGGTTAGTCCTGATTCTCAAAATTTTAAAAGTATATTTATTTTCACTCTGTAGCATTTATAAAGGAAGCAAAATAGACATTTTTGTATTCATCCAGGTCCTATTTTATTACATAATTATATTTTAATCATTATATTTCTGTCTTTTGTGAAATACTTATCCAAATAAGTAATAATACTATTATCAATAAAAATAAACATAACTGGGGCTGGAAGTACAGTTCAGTGCTACGTTGCATTTTTACTATGCAAGGCCCTGGGCTCAACCCACAGCACTGTACACATAAAAAAATTGTAAAATAAAATCAGCAAAACTAGCAAATGCAGTAGCCACTTTGCATTTATGAGGATTATAATTTTTTCTTTCAATTTTCAGTGTTGGGGATCAAATGCAGGTCTCTGCACATGCTAAGCATGTACTTTTCCACTGAGCTATATCCCCAGCCCCTTAAAGATATTTTTTCACAGATATTTTGATAGCTACATGCCCTGCTGAAACCAAGGAGGCTTTTATTTGTAAATTAATACCAGAATTTCTAGTGGTATGTAATAGTAAACCAGGTTTCTAGAAACAGCTTTGCTTTGTGATGTTTGCTAGTTTTTGTGACATAAACATACCCACCTGCAATAACTGATAAAAGTTTTTATTCAAATTGTTTAATCAAAGGCATACTTACATTGGAGCCTCTGAACTTCATACATATGCGTACCACTCTATACAAATGTACAGACTTGGATTCCTCCTATTTGTACTTAACAGGACCTGAAAGGAACAGAGTTTTCTCCTCCATATGATGTAGACAGGACAATTTATAAGCCTAACACGACTGGAAAGAGAGAATCTCTCTTAGATAGCTCTGCTCCTTTTCTTCAGGAGAGCCTGAATTTGAAAGACCAATTTTTGACGCAGATGGAGACTCCAATAACTTTAATATTTCTTCTAGATGGTGAACTCCAAGGAGTAAAAAGGATTATAAATAAAGGCTGTTCAGAAACATTAAGCATGGCAGCTACGATTGTCCCATAATGGAGGTATCCAAGCTAGGTGGCCCACAGACCAGCAGTCCGTGATGGAAACAGAATCCAGTCCTTTGACTTTGTCTGTGTCTCCACTTGTGAGGTCACAGGATTATGATGCTTTCCTTAGCATTAACTCAATCTGGGAAAATTTTAGTCTCTGTGCAATGTCCAGTGAGCTTTCACCATGCTGAGGAGGAGAAGAAATTACAGTTACTTACTGCCAACAGAGTTAAATGTCAATACAAATGGTCGGTAAAGGTTGGGATAATGGCTCCTTCATAAAGCACATCCCCAAAGCCCTAAATTGGATCCCTAGCCCAGAAACAAAACAAGATAAAAACCCAGGCTTGACAAAAGCTTTACAAATTACTCAGCTCTAGAAGTGGTAGGATAATTTCATTGCTTAATGAGCACAATCAATTTTACTGTTATTCAAAGAAGAGGCAATTTAGCTTCAATACCTGGCCTAGATAAGAAGATAAGATTATGCAGCTAAGAGAATCTCAGATCCTGGCTCAAGATCCTTACCTTGTCCTTTATCATAGGATCTGCGTGGGCCTCCAGAAGCAGGGGTATGAGAGTCTGGTTTTTCATTCTGCAGGCGTAGTGCAGCGCAGTGCAGCCGTGCTGAAACACAGAGGCCATGGGGCGGATCATCATTCAGGGACTCCACAAACCGGCAGGTAGCTTCTTCAGCAACCATTCAAGTTTGCAGTATACAGCCAAACAAAAGTGTCTGCTCTTTCCAGTACTTAAGTGTTCTTCTGTACTTCAGTATGTTAGTAATATCTTATAAACCATCAGCATCTTCCACTTTCTCATTTTCTGAAGAACTGAAGAACGCAACTTAAGAAAAACTGATGCTGAACTATGTCAAGGTTTGTTTTGTACGATCTTTTCTGTTAAAGAATTTCTACATGAGCCTTTTTGTAAATACTTTATCATCCTCTGCAGTTCTCCATCTCCACAATCTGAAGAAGGTGAGTGCTTCTGTCACTGCATCACTGCAGAACATCTAGAAGATCTCAGTGGTTCTGCTCCACTAGTACCAACTGAAAACACTAACTACAGATCAAATAAATGTCTAGCTGGGAGATTTGTATTTAGGATGCGGTCTTTCAACCAGGCGCGGTGGCACATGCCTGTAATCCCAACACTGATGAGGCTGAGGCAGAAGAATCACCACAGATTCAAGATGAGTCAGAGCTACATAGTAAGTTCAAGGCCAACCTGAACTGTACAGCAAGACCCTATCTCAAAAAAATGTCTTTCAAAACTCAGTCAAGGAACTGATACAGATACCATTTTACTCCAGAAAGAATGGCTATCATTAAGAAATCAAATAACACAAATACTAACAAGGCTACAGAGAAAAATGCATCTTTCTACACTGTTGATGGGACCTGTAAACTAGTACAATTAATCAGGACAGACATCCCTCAACAAAAATAAAGCTAGAAATTCCACTGGACTCAGCTATTCCTCTTGTAGGTATCCTCCCAAAAGAGTTAAAGCCATCATATTACAGTGACGCATGGCTGTGTAGCAGCACAATTTATCTTAGCTAAATCTTAGAAACAACCGTCTATACCCGTCAATAGATGAATGGGTATAGAAAATGTGGCATTTGTACATGATGGAATATTATTCAGCCATAAAGGGGGACAAACTTTAGGCATTTGGTATGAAACTGAAGACCATAATATTAAGTGAATAAATCTGACACACAAGTTTAGATATCTCATGTTTCTTATGTGAGAAACCCAAGGTATAAATAAATAGCAAAATAAAAGGTAGATAATAAAAAGTAGGGAGATCTTTTTCTAATGGGAATCAGAAAACAGAAGGAGGAAGGAGGGAGGTAAGGAGAGGAAATGGGATTTAAAAGCGACTTGAAGAAAATAGATGGAAATAGAGCTTTTGCAAATGGGAAGAGGAACAAGAGTTGGAGGGATCAGGGAGGGATGGAAGGCAAGGGACCAAAGCAAAGCGTTTAAGATGTGTCTCGTACATATACACCCCCCCACAATAAATGTCATCATTATTTACTCCCAATATATAACAACAAAATTATTTTTAATCAGCCTAGGAAACCATGGTCATGGTAAATGAAATAATAATATCCTTGTCTATGAAGGCTAATAAAATTAATTTTGGACCTCATTCTCTGGAAATTGTTCTAAGATTATTGGAATTAATTCTATAATCACTTTTTTATTATGTGCTGATGTGATGCATGGAAGGTCTAGCTCTAAATTTTTCCAAATGAAATAAAGAAAGCCTAAGTAAGTACAACACAAAACACTGCATTGCTTGGGGCCAGAAACGTGGATTATGATATCCAGAAAGTTTTCTTCTAATGTTTAGTAGGATAAAGGCGTGTTGCTGTATACATGTGTATATGTGTGCATAACAGTGTAATGCTGTATCTCTAAGGAAAATATACTGAAATGGCTGGAAAAATTTTCACCACAGGTACAAATTTTAAATCTTTTAAATTTAAATGGGAGGGTTAAAAAATTTCAAAGATCTTCTACTTAATCTTTAATAATCTCAGCTAACACATTTCAAAGATGTTTAAAGGGATAATGATGAATAATAATAATCTATCCAAATTAATAGAAAACTGCTAGTTGAAATAAAAAGAAAATATACATTATTTTCTTGTCTCTTTCATAAAAACACATACACATGCACAAAACTGTCTCAACTTAAGTACAATTAAATATAATCAAAACTAAAGTAATGTAAATACAAAAAGGGATAGGGACATATTCTCTATCACTGAACAAGAACAATACATGCAGAACAAGTTAAGCATTACATAGAATGCTAGTGTTTTTAATCAAATTTCAATTTGATTAAAATTCAATGCCTTTCAATCGAACACTGATAACCTAAAAATTTATTCAAGTAATGTAAGCATATAAAAGTAGCATAAAACATTTTGAGCCATAATGTTCATTCAAAGGGGTAAAAGGCAAAAACAAAGTTTTACACTTCCTAAGGGAAGAAGTTAGCCAGTGCTCCCGTTGCTGTCACTACTCTTACCATCTCTTGGATTTCTCCTCAACCTTTGTCCTTATCTACCTTCTGTATATAAAGGGCCTCTTGAAAGTGGTTGGAATCTTGGCTGCAGCATCAGCTGTTAACATCCAGTAAGCACTTGCTCTGTACAAGCACTCTGCTTAGTGCTTTGCATGAGCATGATTTATAAGGTAAGTACTCTGTATTCCATTTTACAGAGAAGGGAGCTGAAAGTTAAATCGGTTTACCACTTAGTAAAACCCATGTTAGTGAGAGGTGGCAAGTTCACATTAACACCTAGACGTTCTGATGCCGTCTTCTTAATTATTGAGGACAGCATTTCTTATCAGACCTTCCATTTTCCTTCAATTTTCATCACTGTCAAAGCCAGTGCCTTATAATCAATGAAGATTTTATTCTTATGAGTTTAATGGAAAAATATAAGTAACCTCATAAGTTGCCTGATTGGCCATGAGAAGAAAAAAAAAAAAGAAAAGCAAACTAAATGTGAATGTCTCTAGGAAAATAAAGCAAGCACCTTTATAGATGACCAGTATATGACCTCTAAATATCATTTTAATATTACTTTGAAATGGCTAACAATACAAACTTACACAGTCTGTAGCATTGACCTCAACACCAGCATCAAGAAGCATTCGTACAAGAGCCTCGTTCTGCTTTGTCTTTGATACCTGTAACGGACAGTACACGATAGGTTGTATTACAAATATTTTCCCCATGGGGGGAGCTTTTTAATCAGTAGGATTTATGTTAATCCCCAAGGGGCTATGCTTATGTGCATCTTTGTTAAAATTTCCCCACCTTCCTATGCCCTTCAGCGTCAATCCAAGCCACAGTTTTCAGGAAGTACTCCTGGGGGTAGCAGCCTCAAGACCCAGGAATTTGTTTGAAATGCATATTGTCAGGCCCCACAGCGCACCTGCCACATCCTATATCCTACTGAGAATGTGACCCAGTTCCTACGTTTCCTGATTCAAAACTCTTTGGAACTTCCCGGTGCTCCAAGGACAAGTCTAAATGCTTCAGCACAGCCGTCCTAGGGCAAACAGCCCTAGTCTTCTCTCACCTCCCGACTCCTCCTGCTTAAACTACACTGGCTTTTTGCTAGGTCTTCTGTTCTTACCAGGCTCCCACCTGCCAAGGGATCAATGCACAGTGTGTTCCTTCTATCTGGAAGCTTCCTATCTCCCTCATGTGCCTGCAAATTCATCTTTCGTATCTCAGGCCAGCCCCTCTTCCTCGGAGAGGCATTCCTTGGCCTACCTGACCAGATGGACTCTCTTCCTTCCAGGCTCCCACAACACCCATCATTTCTGTGCCACCTGCTTCAAGGGGGTTCCACATGTATTTATGCCATTGGATGGATAATCCCATCACCCTCTGATTCCATGAGGACAAGGACGGGGCCTGTATTCACTGTTATATCCCCAACACAGGCTACTATGTCTGATCTGTTGTGAACACATAGTGAAGGACTGAAGAAATGAAAACTTAACCAGGTCTCCTCAGAAATCTGTTTTCCCTTTCCAGTCCCTTGAGGTTCTGACTATATAACAACTGGAAATTTCTCCCAGCAGCAGGTCCCTGAGGAAGCAGAGACCTCCCTGCGCACAGGCACACAGCCCTGGAGGTCAGCCTCTTCAGCATCTGAAGCTTTAGCTGTCTTTGCTCCTTGTACCTCTCTCTGTCACCTGCTAAACTACTTTCTCATCCTCCCTTCTCTGAAGGGACTCAATCTGTGCCAATCCTCGCCCCTATAATTTCCTCTTGTGTAGCTTATTCCCTGTGCTCCACAAATTTACAGTTTTAGGCTCCACTGATAAATAGTGGACTTGTGCAGTTAGATCCAGGCTATTCATCACCATCAATATTTTTGCTTAGACCTCCAGCTTAAAAACATTGGACCATCTTGAAAAACAGAGTTGTGAGTCAACAAATTCTAAATGAACCTTACTAATCAAAGCTGTGATGCTTTTTCTTCTTTTGCTACTTTTTTGTACCGGTGATTGAACTTAGGACCTCACACTTGCCAGGCAGGCAGTGCACCACTGAGCTAAAAACCCAGCCCTGTGATGCTTTTCTTCAGGATCTCTAAAAAGATTTGTAAATGAATGACAGTTTTCTCTTGCCCCAAAATTACAAATGTTCAAACAGTCTATGATGAATTCACAATGACTTTTCAAGAAGTTTTTAGGGATATAAAGAAGTTTCATGTTTATTAGTTTAAGTTTTCTTACCCTTTTGCACATATGCAAACATCAAAATGTGAGATCCTCCTTTTCTATAACATTTAAATCCCCCAAGGAGATAAAAACATTCTTAAATACGCAGAGCTTGTACTGAAACTTATTTTAACAAGTGTGGCTGACATCCACAGCCTACCAATATGAAAACAAGGGAGCTTGCTCATTTAACTGGAATAAATTAAGCAACCGCTTTGGCTTAACTCAAAGGTGGAACTGGCCACAAGGGAGTCAGATGGGCCAAAGTCAATGAGTCAGCACAGACCTGTCACCTTATTTGAAAAAACAAACAAAAATTCCTCGAGCGTCATCTTTTTCTCGTAATATGATTACATTCCTACTTCAATTTCCTATTTACTTTTTTTTTTTTTTTTTTTTTTTTGGTTTTTCTCCGGTACCGGGAACCGAACTCACGACCTTGCGCTTGCCAGGCAGGCGCTTTTGCCGCTGAGCTAAATCCCCAGCCCCTCAATTTCCTATTTACTTTTCAAGAAAAGCAGCCTGCAAAAGACCCACTGAAGCATGATGCCACTCATCAAGGTGAAAGATGGCTTCAAAGGTTGAGATCTGTCTGCCAACTCACCACCAAGTTGGGCCTTTCAACCTCAGAAACTCAGAGAAGACATACCAAAGCATAAACTCCTCTTACAAAAAACAGAGAAAAAGTGGTAGAAAGGGGATTGTTTTTCTAGTGTCCAGGATTTTTGTGCTTCCTTTCAATGATTCCTATTCAAGATTAAATTATTTTTCCAAGTAAACCTGACACAGCTTGTCTTCCCATTGGTTACCGACTTTTGCTACCTTCCTTCCCACTTTACCCATAGCATCAGATGTGCATTGGAAATGTTGCTTATAGAATACAGACAGTCCCCAAGATTCCAGTGTTCATTTCTTCCTTTTGAAAAGATTTTCAGCTTTACAATGGTGGGACTACACTCTGAATTATGAATTTTGATCTTTTCTTGAGCTAGTGAAAAGTAGTAAGATACTCACTTGTGATGCTGGACATGCCCAGTCAGCCGCATGGTCACTAGGGTCAGTAACTAATACTCTGCAGTGTACTTGGCTGCTCTGCTATGATGCCGAGTATGTTAGGTATATTAAATGCATTTTCTGCTTATATTGTCATCTTATGGAGGGTTACTGGGATATGACCACACTGAAAGTCCAGGAGCACCTGTACAAACCAAGAACTTGTTCTGTTACATTTCTTTACAGCATCTCACTGGCCAGGCAGAACTCCATGACTCACACCACGGCTCGTGTATGAATTGCCCTGAGATCTAACTGGTGTACTCACCATGAGGAAATACCCAATGAGCAGGACAGGCATCAAGAGGACAATGAGTAGATAATCAAAGAAGGTAAATCTTTTCTTCACAGCATAATGCAAGCAGGTTCGTCCTTTCTACAAAATAAGAAAAGAATGTTTATTTCAAATTTTATATTTTCAGATTCCCATATCAAAAAGTCCAGTTCATGCTTTTTTATTGTCAGGGTTTCATGGTACCTTTCCTCTGTGAGCTATGTCTGGCTAATAAACTCAGATCTCCACTGACCAGAATATAGAAGAATTCAGTCAAAAGGAAAAGTTTGGAGAAGATCAGTGACAAACAGCAGAGGTGAATGTACACTGTAGAAATAACCAAAGGATGGTTTCTCACACTCACTTTAGTTTTTGAGAAAACTAATACACTGAGATATAAACAGAGGGTTGAAATTGTATGAAACACTACTGTCATCCCTTCATAACCTATAGTGGACAATTATCCATTGTTTGGTTTGTTCATAGCAAAATTTTAACCACACAGCAACTTTTCCATGTTCCCTCATGTACATAAGCAGTGGTAAAATATGCAAGTAATTTAATTCTTCAAATATGTTGATATTATCAGGTCATAAACTTAAATTGTGAGGGGTAGTAGGGAAAGTGAACCCTCAAGACCTCATAACAAAAGGTGACCAAAAACAGGCACAGACAAGGATAATGCAGAACAGACTCTGGAATAATGGGGATAGCAAGCAGAACAACGTAAAGAAATGGAGCGCAAGAAAAAGGAGGAGTTAGTTTCCGTTGGGGGGGCACTGCTCTTAAACAAGCACACTGACTTGTTTTTCCAATTATCAGGATATGTGTGTCATCTGTAAACAATTTGGAAGTTAAACAAGAATATAATGATAGAATTTAAAATTACTCATCAAATAATCTACAGTTAATATTGACATTATACTGTACTGAACTACAGGTTCCTTAGGGCTTTAAATACATACATACACGTGGCATTTTAAAATATCAGAGTATATTGCATTTAAAACCATATGTTGCCTTTTTTAGTTTACAAATGCCCATTTAGAATGTGTGCACTTTCCATGCCACTCAATATTGTAATGGTTGCATGGTTTTCTATTTAATGGAGGTACTCTATTCAGTTAAATGCTATGTATTAGAAATTTCAAATTTTTAATTTTTATAAATAATATTGCCCAAACATCCTCCTTCACAGAATTTTGTCAACAATTCTGTTTGTCCTTGGCTCAAGTTTCTAAAAATACAATTCCTGCCGTGACATAATTGACAGTTTTCATGCTCTGCTGCCACATTGTGCTCCAATAAGATGATAACAGTGTAAACTCACTTCCCAGTCAGTATTTAATTTTCGTTTTAAAAATTAGTTAGTTGACAGACAAAAAGAAACATTTGTTTCATTTCAGTTTCCATAGTATCAATATTTTCTGTAAGCCTGTGTTTTAAATCACCAGCAGGACTGTTGGCTTGTTTGTAAGAGTTCCGTTTATTTAGTACTTCTGAAAATAATTTATAAATAGATTTTAAAAATGTGAAAGAACTTGTTCAGGTTATTTATTGGTAAATACTGCTATTTGATCAAAATAAAAATATTAAACATTATAGCACTGTTAGAGACATTTAAGAAGTAGAAAATGCAAACAAAAACTACCTCTGATAAAATCTCTATTAATCTAAACTTAAAGTATGACGAAAGTCCTTTTGATGGCTTAATGACACCAGAAGATCCCAGTAGGGTGCCAGAGGTGGTCCTCTGCAAAGAAGGGGTTCTTTAGTCCTGGCCCTGGGCTGACAGGCATCTCCCTCTCTCAGCCTTCTACTGAGTACGCTCTGGAAAATGTAGAAGAACTCACAGATTTCTGATTTCTAACAGGGTAGCTTACTACAGCCCTACACATCTGGTTCCTCAGCTGTGTTCTAGGGAGATCCTCTTACTCCAGTAAGCAGCTAATCTGTTAGCAACATGGGCATGACTTGCTCTTAAACTCACCCAGGGGTGACAGTGTTGCTTAGTGCTAGAATGCTTGACTAGGATGGGTAAGATGCTGAGTGTACTCTCCAGCACCACAAACAAATGAACAAAACTCCACCCAAGAAAAAAATAGTAAGCATGTGCAAGAAGTGACTAGTGATCCATTTTGTGATAATATACTATTACTCCCAATGAGCTGATCTTTAACATGATTTGACAGTGGCAAGTGAGGCCCTACCAGATGTTTTTCTCATTGAGTACACTTGAGTAGGTACAGGATATCCATAAATATTGCAAAAAGTGACTCTGACTATTTATTAAGTAAAATATAAATGTTGCCTTTACTATAACACAGATGCTAGATGTTCAGAAGAGTTCTGCAAGGGTGCTCACAGCAAGACACACATACGCCATTTTGTTTTGGCTCTGAAAACTCCAAACCAGCTAATACTGAATCTTACAACACATTCTTTGTGTCTGTTTGTATTACTTCACACCCTTGCCTTATGAGCATATATGCCCTCAGTAGGCTTCTCAGAGCATTCTTTTATACTACAAGAGCATAGGAGCTTGTTCAGATCAGGAGATTTGCATAATAGGTCACAAATTCAATATTTCTTTAACAAGATATATTCCCATTACTTCCATAATAGTGAAAAGGGGAAAGAGAAGGAAGAGGTGGGAGGAGATGGGAAGTAAGAGGAAGAAAGGAAGAAGCTCTATCCAGACAAGGGAGTGAAGCATTCTCTTCCTCTTCAAAAGTACAAAGACAAAATCAATCATATAGTATGTCTGTTGATTGAACTATGTTTTATTATGCTATTTAGCATAGAAAAAATGTCCTTGGTATATATCAGTTTCTCCAAAGTCATACTAAAAAAACCCAAAAAAGACAAAAAAGAAAACAATTGTCAGTATTAAGAGCTACAAACAATTAAAAAAGTGACATTCACTGTTTCCACCAACTGGGGGAGAGGAAACGATAATTGAACTCTGCACTCATGTGGAACAGCCTCACCTGGTTTTTGAGGTTGGCATTAGCATTCCTTTTCAAAAGGAAGGAAACAATTCTCACGTGCCCTCGCCTACAAGCACAGATGAGAGGAGTGTCTCCATTGAAGCCATCTTGAATGTTGACATAGTGGTTGTCTTCTCTTACCCAGCGCCACACTTGACCCAAGTCGTTCTGGTAGGCTGCCTGGCAAATGGGCTGAGGGAAGAAAGACAGACACAGCTCTTGAAATACAAACATAATTAAACCAAAAGGAAGAAAAGGAAGAGGGGGGAGAAAGAGAAGGAGAAAAAGAAGGAGGAGGAGGAAAAGGAGGAGGAGACAAAGAGAAAGAGAAAGAGGAAGAGGAAGGAAGAGGAGAAGGAGGAGAAATCATTACTCAATAATTTAAAATTAAGTTGGAAGAAGGAAGAGAAGGAGGAGAAAGAAGAGAAGGAGAAGGAGGCAAAGGACAAGGAGAAGGAAAGAAGAAAAGAAGAGGAGGAAGAAGAGGAGGAGGAGGAGGAAGAAATCATTACCCAATGATTTAAAATTTGTTTCCAAATTGCAATATATTGCTTAAATGTTTTGGACTTGACTATGCCTGGTCTTTTAACTTAGAAGAGCATAAGTCCGTGAGGAACATTTATATTCTCTCTCTTTTTTTTTTTTTTTTTGTTTTTCTCCGGTACCGGGAACCAAACTCACGACCTTGCGCATACCAGGCAGGTGCTTTTGCCGCTGAGCTAAATCCCCAGCCCCACATTTATATTCTCTTAAATTGCCTAGCACATAGAACAGACAAATAGTGCAGAGACAAATGAGTGACTAAATACATGAAATACTACAAATCTGACTCAGTAAGGAAATTGTACATTGTGACTGCAAACAAATGGGCAGCCAGAACAGCAGGAGCTCCCTAAAGCTAAAATGAGCATGTAGGGAAGGAGCCCAGGGGTGCACTAGCTGATAGAATTAGACCTGAATGACTCAAGGGACTCAAGAAGGTAGAAAATATAGGTTTAAGACAAATAATATCCAAATAAAGGTTATGTTTTTAGGTTTAAAATGTCTCCCAAAAGTCTTATGGATTCAGAATTGGGGCTTTGGGAAGGTAACTGGATCATGGGGGCACTATTCAACACTGGACTAGTCCATTGGTAAGCTCATAGTTTAATGGTCTATCAGAAGGTAGGGCCTGGTCAGAAGATGTGAGTCGCTGGGGATATGATCTGAAAGGGCTTTGTCTTGTCCCTGGTCCCTCCATGCCCCCACCCCCCCTTTTCCTGGCTGCCATAAGCTGAGCAGCTTTCCTCTGCCAGGCCTCTTCACCATGCTATTTCAGCCTTGAAGCCAAATAACCATGGACTGAACATTCTGAAACTATAAGCCAAATAAACCTCTTCTCCTTTAAAATGTAGGAGTCAGGTATTTTGTCCTAGTGACAAGAAGTAATTAATGTAATGAGTAACTGCAATTTATTAATACTGTTTATAAAGAATACTACAAAGAGCTTCGGAAAGCACCATGAGAATTTTGTAGTAGAACCTAAGCTAGCCTCATCTTGCCAACTTCCTGCTCTGCTCCCGCCCTTCAGCACTTCTGTTCTTCAGATGACCCCATTTTACCCTTAAAATGACCCCATCTGGGTCCTACCCTGCTTGTTGATCTGCCTAAAACACTTCACCAGCCTTTATCTAACTCCTATCTCAACCTCCATGTTATTACTTAAGTTTTACTTTATCCAAGAAGTCTTCTCTGATTCCCAACATTGGTATTTGTTCTTCACTATAGAGAGCCCTTCCAAGACTTCACTGTAATTTGGGAAATTTATATTTGTAATCCCATGGAAAAGCTATTGGAATCCTAGAAAGTTAAGTCCAATCTACCCCTGTCAGTGTGACACATGGCAAGAATAAAGACAGTAAGTCATATGTGTAGTTGTGGGGAACCAAGGGGGTCCTAAGTCCAGCTAGAGTAATGGCTAACTGGAACAAAGCCCATGGCCCAGGGCCAAACCCAGGTTTTATCAATTTGTCAAGAGCGGAGTAGCTGGGGTTGAGTGACTATACTTGTGAGTGCCATGAGCTGGGCTAGGTAGGATGCCTGAAATCACCTCTGCAATATGCAGAGAGAAGGATATGCAGAAGGAGTAATCTTCATAACACAATTCTAGGCAGTATCTAATGTTTAGAAGTAGGTTCTTTGGCTCGGATGTGGAATCTTTTGTGCCCGGGGAAGTCATTGCCTCGAGGCTCATCCCAGCTGTCAGAGTGAGGCATGGCTCTCCCTCCCACCTGGCTCTCACATGCTGTTTGGGAGCTACAAAGCAGGGCATCACTGACATGTTGCTTTGCTTCAAAGACTATACATCAATACCCTGACTAGACTGATTCGCATTGCTTAAAGCCAATTTGGGGGGATAAGGAAAATTCCTAACCAGCTCTGTACATATCAGTACGTGGAAATAGGGCCAGGTTTAGCCAAAGTAGGGCATGGTGTCATATACATATATATGCATATATACCTTAAATATTGTTTTATTTTAAAAAGTTTTACAGTGCTGGGAATAGAAGCCAAGCCTTCCAATTGCTAAGCAAGTACTCTACACTGAGGTACCTCCTCAGCACCTTGTGGCAATGCTGAGAATCAAACCCAGGGCCTCATGCATGTCAGGCAAGGGCTCTATCAAGGCTTTCTCATGAAAGCAACATTCTGAAAGAAAATCAACTTATAACAATTAGGATACAAACTTCTGTCCTTAAAATGACATAAACATGGTACATGAGACGCACATTTTCATGGAAATGCACAAGTACGAACCACCTATTCAGTTTCATCAGTCTTCCCTTATTTAGGCTCCTTATCATTTGGCACAACAGTGTGTCAGAGAGCCTGAGTGATGTGGGAAGGACTGGAACAGTGGAAAGAGCACTTACCTGGTGTTGAGGAAATGAACTGCAATTCTGGCTGTCACTAACATCCTGGGTAACTGTGGGCAATTCACTTCCTCTCTAGTGTGTTTCAGTGCCTTTGATCATGAAATGAAGTGGAGAGAAAGTTTTTCTGGATTTTCACAATCTATGACTTCCAGGAATTTCATCTGAACCAGTACCTCTCGCATGCCACAAACAATGCTGAAAAACTTGTAGTGAATTTCTGTTGCTTTAGTGGTGATGTCTAGTCATTTGAATTTTCACAGCAAGTAAAATAAAACTAAGTAGAACAAAGTGAGGTAAAACCATCAGCTCTTAATTTTGCCAATTAAACGCATTTAAAACAATGTTATAATTCACAAAAGATACTTTAGCAAAAACATAAAAATAAGGTTGAGGATGTACTTCAGTGTAGAGAACTTGCTTAGCAATCAGAAGGCTTGGGTTCTATTCCCAGCACTGTAAAATTTTTTAAAATATAACAATATTTAAAATATATATACATGTATATGTATATGACACCATGGCTCAAATAACTGGCTCCAACACTGCACTGTCCTCACCACTCCCTCTTCCATTACACCTGCCCCACTGCAGTCCTTTGTGCTGCCTGCCTGGCCCCAGACCTCATATCAAAGTTCTCCTTGGGCTCCTTAAAATCTTTGCTGAGCATTCACTAAAAAAAGGCAGAGTTCTCCTGAGTGAAGCATTAGGTGCTTTTGAGGGCTTTCTCAATCTCACTTGCTCAATGTTATTTAAAACATTAACCTCATCTTATCTTTCGTCTTTCGTAGGCTTCCAGTGTCCTAGGCACAAAATATCTGGTTTTAAAAGTAAAGTGTGAGGGGGTAGCTCAGTGATGGAGCACATACTTAGTATGCACAAGGCCCTGGGTTCCATCTCTAGCATCAATCGATCAACCAATCAGTCAGCCTTCCTGGCTCATTTGAGGCTCAAGTAATTTGACACAGTTGTGCTCAGAGCTGAGGAAACTATGTTGTTATGAGCTCTCAATTTCCAGGAGGGGGTTGCTCAGTGTCAGAAAAGTAATGAAAACAGAGGAGGGGGGGAGCTGGGGATTTAGCTCAGCGGCAAAAGCGCCTGCCTGGCAAGCACAAGGTCGTGAGTTCGGTTTCCGGTACCGGAGGAAAAAAAAAAAAAAAGAAAACAGAGGGGGAAGTCCCATAGAAAAGTGCCCTAGCTACAGCCCAGTAGAATGACTCGTCTACCACAATTAGGAGTTTTATTTTTTTGGTTATATACAGCAATTTCTTATGTATTTTGGAAGAACTAGAAGAAACAAGTTCAAGATTCCCAACACAAATGATAAATATGCAAGGAGATGGAAATGTTAATTACTTTGATTTGGTCATTATACCTTATATACATGTATCAAATTATATTGTACCCCATAAATGTATGTAAGTATTATGCCAGTTAAAAACAAAGAAAAAATAAAAGGAAAAGGCTAATGGGCAGATTAGACATGAAAAAGAGGAAAGGGTGTCTACTTGGGTGGAAGGAAGTTATACATCCTTTTCAGCCTGAGTAATACTTGGAACTAGGGGGTGCTGTGGATACAGAGGAAACGCATGTGGTAAATTATCTTGATGACTGGAGTCCCTATTAATTTTAATGCCAGCCCTCTCTCCATCCGCATTGCTAATGTTCTGGTTCAAGCTTTTGTTAGTCTCACCAGGACTATTATAAGACTAGCTATACAAGGAATGATCAAAATATATGATGGATATTTAAATTTTTAAAAAGTTTTATGGTAAAAGATATAGTGCCACTAATCCCCTTCAAAATACTTTCCCTTGCATCAGTCACAGTTATCCCATTGACTTGTTATTTTCTGCAACAGTTCTGGAAGTCCTCTTTTGTGGGTGAATTCTGCTACCACGCACCACTCAGTGGAAAGCTAGACTTGTATAAACACCAGGGTATCTCCCCACCCACCTACTGGATCTGGCACCATGCAACTTCTGGCTCTTTCCCAAAGTCAAAATGAGCATGAAAGATATACATTTTGAATGAATTCAGGACACAAAGGCAGCCAGGACAGTGCGAGTATAGAAATTTGAAGAGGACTTCCAGAACTGATTCAGAAAGTGGCAGGGACAATGAGGTAAGTTTGTTTGAAGCAAGGGAAATATTTTGAGGGGATTAATGTCAATGTGTCTTTCACTGTAATATTTTTTAAAAATTTACACATTTCCCATATATGTCAATCACACCTCATAACCATCCTTATCTCCTCTAGTCCAACTCATCCAGGCTCCA